TATATATATATATATATATGCAGCGTCAGAAGATCTCCAGATATTTGTGTACCCTGCTGAGCATGTGTAATACTAAAATGCATTGTTAGTATAATTGATCTTAACGTGTTAACATTTAATGTATATAAAATACATGCACGAAGGAGACATATGTAAGCATTTTTTTTCAAATACAGATGATTGAAAACATATGAGTATATTAATTATAAGTCTGTAAAAAAAAAAAAACTAACAACATTATATCTACACTAACACATTTAATTCTATATCACTCTAATAATTATTTACCACACTGATAATTGTATATCTCACTTTAATTATATATTTTGTACAAACATTATTTTAAGTATATATCATGAATTAACATTATTTTAATTATATATCTTAAGTATTAGGTATTATCAGCAACAAAGTATTAAGCATTGATGGAGTAAGTGCTGAATATCTACAATACAAGATATCTACAATACGAGATATTTACAATAAAAATCTGTTTATCTACTTCGTTTATTATCTTCACAATCTAAGTCAAGATAAAATTTGAGATGTTTTTTATCTGTAATTTATGCCATCAGATGAAATAACTACATGCCTGGATTAGTACCCAAGAGTGAAAAATTTATACTCAATTATAATTTTTACCCGTCTCAGACATGTTTGGCAATATAATTTTCGGGTCCTAATGTATATGCATACAATTAATCAATTCTGATTGCATATCAAATGCCATGGATAATAACTCAATGTACTTGCTAATAACCTTGACTGGTGTTTCTTTTTTCTATAAATTTATACCATTTGAAAATTTTGTCCCATCACCCAAATGCTGTTTTGAATGCGATTGACCATTAGATAGTATTTTCTTAGAGGCGTTTTCTCAAAATAGTATTTTTGTAACTCTATTTTTGTTGCAAAATTTTTATTCTGGAAAATGTAATTAGGAGTACATATAGAAAACTGTTTGATGTTTTACTCTAGATATGCATAAAAATAGTTTAATTGCAGTGTATAACTTATCAAAATCACATGAAAATTGTTATTTTGGAATATCATAAGATATTTTTGCCAATTTAATCAGAAAATTGATGTATAAATGTTTTTACTCTAAGTAAGTCAAGAATTGTTTGCTTTTAATGTATGCATTTTGATTTGGGATTTTTTTTTTATTAAAAAAATAGCTGAGAAGTTGAAAGCAGTATCAACTTTATTAGAAGCTTTTGGAAACTGCAGGACGGTGTTAAATTCCAATGCAACTCGCTTTACTGAGCTTTTCACCATTGACTTTGATCATTCAGGTCAAATCATTTCAGCATCTGTTCAAGTAAGTTAAATAATTTAGTTTATTATGTTAGTCTGTTGTTTATGGGTTTTTCAAAGGTCTTAAGTGAGGAAACCACAGTTTAAGTGCTAAGTAAGCTTTAATTTTTAATTATGTATTTTGCCTTCCTGAAATGATTAGCGGGGCTTTATTTTAAACGTTTAAAAAATTATTGAACTTTTTTGGAGATTGCTAACAGAATTCTCAACTGAGAGAAAAATCATATATCTATGAGAAATTCTAAATTTTTATATCTTTAAGGTACGCTGTTCGAGTATTTTTTCTAATATTGACCTTGCGGTGCTGCATGTAGAAAGCTATATTTGTCTTTTATCCTCCCAAATGGTTGTGCGCCTAGAAAATCACTCCATACATCTTTATTTCTTGCTCTGCTATACCCACCTATCTAGAATAAAAAAGGAGAAAAATGATTCGTTGTTCGACTGTTCGTTTCTTTATAGTGCTATACATATGTTTTATTGTGCTGATTATTGGAGAATGGGAAATTAGCCTGAACTACAGTTATGTGTATATCTATCTATCATATATATATAGTCAGAATATATGCTACAGGTTAGAGATGGGAAAAAAAATTAGCAGTTATGAATAATAGTCACAAACTCACAAAAATCATGAAACTAGCTTATTATTTGAGCAAAAACTTTTTTACATGTAACGAAAAAAGATTTTGTAGAACAACCTCAAGAAGTTAGCTTATTGTTTGAAGAATTTTTATTTGCCTTCTATTTAAGGAATGTTTTACTGATTATTTAGAATATCTAGTTCTGAAATTGTTTTTAGGCTTACATGCTTGAACGGTCAAGAGTTGGTAGACGTCCTGAAGGAGAACCAAACTTCAACATATTTTATTATCTTTTAGCTGGAGCAGATGAGACTTTAAGGTATGTATAAGTTAATTAGGTAATGTGAGAAAAAATTCTGTGTAGGTAGTAATTTGTATCCATTTGCAGGAAAGAGTTGCGTTTTGAGAATTTGCAAGATCCCAATCTATTTATGACACCACTTCAGAAGGTAAGTTATTGATTCTCATATCTTGTATTCTTATTTTACTGACAATAATACTCTTAAGTGATTCTAGAATAAGAAATTCAACTGTCCAAAGCATGAATTAATCCCTATGTTGTGGCTTGTTGAACTGTTAGTCAGTTGATCATTGATGAATGAATTAGTAAGGAAATATTTTAAAATGAAGATGAGTTCAGCGTAATTACCTGTTATTTGTGTACCAGACAATAATCCCTGTGCCAAAATGATTAACAAGTTGTGCCAAAATGATTAATGTATTAAGAAAAAGGATAGTTACATTTGTTTCCTAGGAAAAATATAATTTTATCAATTGTTAAGGAAATTTACAATTTATTGCTTCTGTTTAAATTGATATTTTTTTAGCATTATTATCTTTTTGATATGTTTCTTTTTATTTGTGTGAAATAAATGTAATGAAAAGGAAACCTCACCTATGTAAAGTAAATAACCGGATGATGACAAAGACTTGGCAATTTTTGCGAAGCTTTCCTTTATTCCTTACTGATACATACTGATTCCTTACTTCTTTTATTCCTTACTGTTCTCACAATTGAAGATAATAATAAAAGAACATTTATACTAACCCAGAAGCATAATTATATCTAATATTTTGTAAAAAGAGTTTTGATAATTACAAATATTCTTAAATTATTGTCAAAAATTAACAAACAAATTTTACTATTTCTATTTTAACATTCTTTAAAATTACAGTCACTTTTCCTGTACTTTTAATTTATTTCGTTATTTTATTAATTATTGTAGGATGAGGATCAAAGACGGGCATGCTTATCCTGGTCATGTGTTGCTGCTGCATTTCAAACTTTAGGGGCACAAAATTATGAAGTCAAAGCAATTTGGTATATTCTTGGTGCAATATATCATCTTGGTGTGGCAAGTGCTTGCAAAGGTATGAATAATTAATTTTGCATGTTTATTGTGTGTAAATATACGTATAAATTTAAACATCCATTGTAGCCATTTCCAAATTAAATTTTAATGTCCTTGCAGAATTATTTTTTCTGTTTACTTATATACAGAGTAATTCAAAAAGAATATAGTGAAAATGGCGAGTCCCATGCAGAAAGCACTCTGCATGTTAAAATTTATCAATTGCCCTTCTGTTATCACTATCTATCTATGGTGTTATGTGAAAGATAAGGTGTATGTGCTTCCCATGCCTAAAACAATTGAAAAACTCAAAGATCACATTTGTAAGGCACTCTCGTGTTGATTGCACAAATGCTTTAGAATGTATGGCGTGAAATGGACTACCGCCTAGATGTTGTCTGTGTGACCAAGGAAATTCACATAGAAAATCTGTGACGCATGTATACAAAATTTTTAAGTGCCTTCTACATTCTGCATAAATTTTATTGATAAATTCTTTTTCATTAAATACTTATAGCCATTTGTAATCACTACATACATTTTGAATCACCCTGTATTTTTGTGACTTATTTTTTATATTTTTTTATTGTATAATGTTTAGCTCTCCATATTTTTCTTCTTTACTATGTTTTTATTTCAATATGTGAATAATATTGGTTCAATTTCTGCCAGTCCTGTGATTTATATGTAAAATCAATGCAAGACAAATAAATTAAACTTTTTAGCCTATGATTGCCTCAGCTTAATGAAGCATTCTGAAGTTAGAATTGTGCATCCTAAAATAACTTCAATAAAATATCTAATTTAAAGCTCCTTTTAATTTGTAGTTATTAAGGTTCGCTCTATTTTTAGTAGTTCTAGTTCATTCTCAATTTCAGGTTCTAATGGGCGTTTACAGTTTCTGAGACCCCAAAATGCCCAGAAAGCAGCATCTTTATTAGGATGTTCAGTAGAAGATTTAGCAAAATGTATCTTTTCTTCTGACAGTGGACATGTTTCAGGAAAAGTTTCTCCTCGGTTAGTATAATTTCTCTTAGTATATTTAAAAAAAAAAATTCTGATGAGTTTATCTTTTGCTTTGAAGTGAAAGTCAATTGTTTACCATATTATGTGATGCACAACAATACATATAATACTTTCATTCTTAATAATTCTTTTAATATTATTTTGAAAATCTTGCAGATTTTTTTATCCTCTTTATTTATAAGATTCTAAGTAAATACAACTTTCTCTTTTGAAATAATTAGCTACAAAATTCCTTTAAATTGAATAGATGTATTTTAATGTAATGTTCCTATATATTGTAATATCTGTATGTTTCATGATCTGATTTACAGAGAATTTAAAATTTTGTTCCATCATTATAAAATGTTAATCATGTTTTTTTGTCATTTTATAACGAATTTGCAATTTATTTTTCAAAAACTTCATTTGCAATATTATTAATGTTCATGCTAATTTTTCATGGTATGTTTTATTTTTAGTTCAAATGATGGCACAGTTGAAGCTACTGAGTGTTTGCAGGCAATGGTATCAAGCTTGTATGCAGAAGTTTTTAGTGCAATGATTTATCTTATTAATAGGTAATGAAACACTTTTTTTTCTTTTCTTATTGTAGTTTTTTATTGTTTTCTTACCCAACTAAAATTTTGATAGTCTCAATTAAAAAGTCTATAGAACTATGTTTTTCTTATGTTTTGTAGTCTATATCTTTTGCAGATAAGAATAAGCTTTTGAATCTTCTCTTAAATATGTTTTATTATATTGAATATTTATCAAAGAATGGTATTTATTACCCTGATTAGCTTATGTGTGATTTTCTTGATAATTGTGTACTTTTTTTCAGACTTGTGAAGTTTCTATAACTTTGTATCTTTTATTTCCATGAAATGGGGAAATTATTGTAAAATTCAATAAAAGAAAAAAGTTTGTCGCCTAAATATAGTGATTTATAAGACTTATAGTGAAATATTCTTTAAATGCAAAATATCAGTTGGAATTAAGTATAATACATTATTTGAGGAACAAATGTTTCCCTTTGAAACTTTAATTTGTCTTGCTTTTTCAAATTGAGTTTTATAGACAGGCGAATATATTGGGGAAAAAAACTAATGTTCTTAAATTAAACTGTTCTATTTCATTTCTGAATTAATACGATGACGCTTTGCAACTTAAATATTAAATAAACATTTTGTGTTTTTTAATACATTTTTAACTTACAATCCTTTTTACAATCTCAGTTCTTCAATCTCAAGAATCTAGCTTTCTTATCTAATAATAGTTTAAAAGGAAGAACTCTTGAAAATATGTGCAGAAAATCATATTTAGAATTCATTAAAATGAATAACATGCAACTTTATAATAAATTAAAAGACTCTACCTTTTTTATTTAATCACTTAATCTTTCTTTTTAGATCTTTGAGCAGTAATGGTCGAAGTATGGCATCCTTTTACTTGTTAGACTGTCCTGGTTTTCAGAATCCCGCAACTTGCGGTCGCGTCATGGGTGCTGCACTCGAAGATTTATGTCATAATTATTGTCAAGAACGTTTACAGTCTTTATTTCATGATTCCACTTTTCTTAACCAACAGGAAAAATATTTGCAGGTAAATTAAAAGGGTAAACATTTATCATTATAAACTAAAGTTTTGACAAAAAATACTTTAAAAGAAAAAAAGCAATTTCTGTTTGCTTTTATTCTGAATTACCAAATCATTTCGATGCTACTTTTATTTTTCCTAAAAAGTCGTTATAATTTAAAATTTGTTAACTCAATTTAATTTATTTATTTTGTTATTTTAATTTAAAATTTATTTTAAAAAATTCAGTGAGAAATGTTTATTTTTAGGAAAACATTGAATGGAATAAAGAAGAATATCATATTTCTAGTCCTGCACCGTTAATTGATGTAATAGATCATACACCTCAACAAGGTGCTGTTCGAGCTTCTACTGCTGATTTGCGTGATGTTGGTAAAAGGGGGCTGATATGGCTTCTTGATGAAGAATCTCTATTTCCTGGAGCGAGTGAAAAATCATTCCTTGATAAATTATTCATGTCTTACAGTGGAAAAGGTAAAATGTTTAATCCTCTGCTGTTGAAATTTAATTAATTTTGTTTTTTTGTGTGAAATAGTACTTTTAAATGTTGATTTTTCTCCTACAAAAATAGTTTCTTGTCAATGCAGGAGTGCCTCTTATTAGACTTCTGGAACTCGCAAATTCACATAAATCTTCCCTCTGACTCGTTGCATATGGAGGTGCACATTGTGTGTTGAAAGTTGCCATGTTTTGCCAAACATTTCCAAAATCTTTTTTTTATTTTATTTTTTTAAAACTAATTTAAGCAACAAAATTGCAGGGTGCGTAACGTTTTTAAAAAGTGCATAAAGGTGCTTATTTTCGATTTTCGTTTTTTAAAGCCCTTAAAGGTGTTTTTAAAAAGTGCTTAATTTTCCCTTTTTCAAAATGAGATTTTTCTTTTACTATGTTGATTATTTCTTCGAATTATGCGAAAAGACACAGTTCACATTGTTCTATTCAAAGTTTTCATAATTAATTCAACCCCAATCTAATTCGGCGTATAGTCAGTATAGTGAGTATGAAAACGCCATTCATTTTACATGATTCTAAATTTCATGATTTTTGTCAAAAACAATTCCAAAAGATTTTTTATTTATTACATGACAGTTGAAACAAGACAAAACCGTCGATTGTCTAAAATTTTCCAACCCTGCCTGATTATGTAATTTTTTTAAAGTGCATAAAAATATTTTTTGAGTGCTTGAAAAGTGTTTAAAAAGTACTTATTTTTTGTTGAATAATTTGGCTATGCACCCTGAATTGTTTTGTTTTCAATTCATTTTTTAAATAATCTAATAATTGTTTATTCAAACTTTTTTCTTATATTGTTTTCAATGTTTAGTGTTAATGCAATAATAGCATTTTATGTGAATCTATTATTATTTTTTTTGTTGATGTTAGGAAAAAAGTTTTTGTGCTATATGAATATTATTTTATGTAGCTCAAGAACTTTATACCTTACATTCTGAATGTTATGCTCTAAAATTTTTGTTGGTCAATGATGTTAGATCCACCAAGGCACAGTTTTGCAGTGAATTTTTGTTTTAATATCTGTGGGTAGAGAGATCTATTGGTTTCATATACTACTGCCCCTTCCTATTTCAGAGAAAATAAATAAAAAATAAGTTAGTCATATTTTATTTTTTAATTTTGTTTTTGCATCGGCACTCTTGTTATAGCAAACAAACAGTATTTAAAAATTAATAAACAATTAAATAATTAAAAGAACAAACAAAAACATTAACTCTTTGGTTATGTAAAAAAAATTATCAAACCAATTGCGAAATTTTTTTTTTCTTGAATGGCATATTTTACTTATGACAAGATGGTGGGTTGTTTTGAAAGAGGGAGTGTTTGTTATTTATGAACACCTTAATTGGAAACTGTGATTTATATGAAATTTTTTTTTTCATAACCAAACTCACTCTATTAGTTATAGCAATTTCCATAGGAACTCAACAAATATTTGTAGAAAAAGCATTATGATACATTCTTGTTCTCCAAAACCACGGGTTATACATATACTTTTCCCTTTTCTGCGAATTCAGTATTGTATGATATATAATAATCCAACGTTGTAAACATATAATAATCCAATTTCCCTACTCTATCATAAGTATAAAATTTAAATTTTAGAAAGTCTTATGTCTTTAAAAAGAATGTTTTTAATCTTAAAAAAAAGATGATTTGTAAACAACTCTGACTTATTACTTTAGATTCTAAAATTGATTTACTCATATGCTACTCAATAGTTTTTTCCTACTAAGCATTTCAATTACAGAAAACTTTGTGGTAGCAATTCTGCAACATTACGAGCAGGCATGGTAATCTTCCTTGCTCATTCATTTTTCTCTCATGTCAGAATGGTCAATTTGTATCCTGTTAACAATTTGTCTTGATCACTAAAAAGTTTTTAAAACTAATTTAAAATGAACTTTTTTATTTGTCTTGTGATTAATTTTTTGAATATAAGGAACTGGAACCTTGATGAAATTTATGGTCAAATTCTTGAGATTTATTGAAAAAGTGCAAAGAGTATTAATATGGTCAGAAGGTAGATTAGAACATTTAATGAAGGACGAACAAATATGCAGGATAAGGCATTACTAGGCAATATTCTGTTTTCGGAAATAATCTGGAAAGGCATGTTTGGGATCAAATTTAAATGAAAAGGCACAAAAAACATAAGCTGTGTGAATTTTGGATACCGAAATTGTATACAGATGTCCACATAACTAAGAAATTTGGCAGCTCTTTGATGAATTTTCAATACAGTGATGGACGGAGACTCTTTTGAAAATGTTAAAGCGTAAAATTTCTTGAGGAAACTATAAGTCACTGGCCTAGTATGACACAATTTGTTACAATTGTGGAACCTATGTTGAAAAATAGTTCAAGAAATGAATTTTCTTGTAAAAATAAATTTTTCTTAAAGAAACACTACTTTTCATACCTTCTTCAGGATAGCCACTCTCTTTGGAAACAGAGAAATACTGCAGTTCCCTGGAAATTTCAAAGTAGTATTGAAAAACCTGGAATTTTCATGGAAATTCATTCTGAAAATTCTTGGAGTACTAGCAATTAATAATAATTTCAGAAAACTTAGCTCTGAGTGTGTTTTAATCTATTATCCATTAAGCATTAGAATATTTTTAACTAATTATTAGGTTCGATAAGTTATTATTTTTTATCATCAGTGCTATTTAAACAAATCAATTGTTAATTCCATTTTCTATATTAAACAAGCTTTTTTTAAAATTAATTCATACCTATATAAAACTTTAAATAAAATTTATATTAAATTTGTTATGCATGAATTAAATTCTTAATACTTTTTTTTTTTTTAATGTCTGGAAATTTTTATATGCAAAACAATTAGTAAATTCCGAGTGAGAAAATAAACAATTTTCTGTACTTATTTTAGATTCTTAATGAATATGTATGTAAATTTCTAAATTACAATCAATATTAAACTAATTTATGCAACAAAATTCTATAGAGTGTTCAGAAATTTTACTTCGGAAATCTCAGAGAATGGCGACATGACTGGAGAAGGGCATTTTAAATAATAACTTTAATTAAAATGTAATGTGTATACAAAGAAAAAAAAACATAAAATTCACAATTTGCATGATAAAAAAAGCTTATGAAATGCTTTAAATAATTTTAATACTAATTTAATTACAAAATTAGTATATTTGTAAAATATTTTCTTGAAACAATTTGCTGAATTAGCAAAGTTCTGGTATAACTTCCATTGATTATGAATAGATTTTTTGAATGATTTTGACTTTAATGATTTTGACTTAAGAATGATTTGGACTTCTTTTTACCATTTAAAAATCCAATAAATATTTTAATTAGGATATGCTGAAAACAAACTTAAGTTTAAATTGTACATAAACTTTTTTATTATGCAGACTCTTTCTTTTCTGTTTTAAATGGCTTGTGTAAATATTATTTTCCAATAATATTTACAATAATAGTAACGTTACTTTTTTCCAATTTTTTAAAGCATTACTCATTTTATGAGATTTAAATTTGCCTGACAATAAATGTGTTTTAAAAAAAGTATCAACCTCCAAATTTATATGGATATATAGCTCCAAACATGCTATGACCTATTATTCTGTTATATCTACTATACTGGTTGTAAGCTACTGGTTAAAAACTTGTTGCTTACACCTTAAAGGTTGAATTTTTTTGTTTGTAAACCTATTTTTTTCTCTTAAATATAAAAGTTTATGAGAACTGTCAGTTTTATTAAAATGTATCTTAAAATTCTAGAATATCAGCAGTTGATTCGTAAAGGACCCTACAATCATCAGTTCACTGTTCAGCATTTTCACGGAACAAACCCTGTTGTATATTCAGTCTCAGGATGGTTGCGGAGCTCCAGAGAGCATCCAGCGTCACGTCAGACTATATTTCTACTCCAAGAATCACAGAGGTTGTATTTTTTTTTGGAAATATTTTATTAATTTTAACATATAATCAGGGATCCTACAAATCCTGGGCGCCAAATCACCTAGGTGATTCGAAAAATTCCCTTAGAGGCTAACATTTTCAACATGTTATTTTGCTACTTATTATTTATTACAAGCAGGAGGAATCATTAGGAAGAAGTAAAAATTTATTGCTTTTTCCTTGCCGGGAAATTTAATGAATAAAAAGATGGTGTTTTAACGCTAATACTCAGAGACAATGTTCCATTTGATGTTTGTATTAAAGGAAATTTAATTTACTCACTACTTCTGTTTTTATATTTCAGTTTTTTTTATGAAATTTTAGTAATTCCAGTTTAAAAGATTTATTTCTTTAAAATTTTTGTTGAATTTAAATTTTTAATTAAATGTTTAACACATTTACTGGGATAAGACACACATCTGATCCATATCTCTGAAAAATAGTCAAGTATGTCTTATGAGCAGTTAGTTTTTTATTTCACAGCAAACACAATGAAGTCGCAATAATTCTTAGAGGCAGCCTCCTAAAATTTTAAAACTTTTGTCAGTTCCTGCATATAATGCAGAGCCAGGTTTTTTTTAAAAGGAAGAACTAAAAATTTAAAAACTGTACATTTTAAACAGGAATATTAGATCTGTTATTTTTTTTTTTTCTAAGAGTGTGCTAATGGGAAATTGGGAATAATATGTTCTAGACATGGGATTATTCTAGTGATCCACCATTTTCATTGTTTTCAATTCGTTTAAAATCATTTTTCAATTTATTTTTTTATATTTATGGAAATGTTAAAAAATAATTACACTGTCAAAAATTACTGTCATGCATATTTCAAATGCATAAATATAAATTAATCAATATAAATTTATGTAATGTTGGCAATTTGAATTTTTCAATTTATCTTATTAGAGGTTAATTAGTTTTTGTAAAGTTATAGGTTTTGTCAATTCAACTAGGGCTTTTTTGTTGCATTTTGATTGCTATATTAATAGTTTTATTTTTATGTCGAAGTATAACTGTTAATAAAATTCCTTTTCCTAGATATTTTAAAGATTTTCCAAATGCTATGTTTTCTAACCTGTTGATAGTGATATAATATATAAATTTTCTTTTTCTATTTTTATCTATTTTTACATATCTTGTTTTGTGTGTACAGCATCTGGTAAATTTAGTTATCTTGAGGGTTGCTCGTCAGCAAAGTCCCTATCTAATAAAGTATTAAGTTTTATTCGCTAAAAATTATTATTATTTTTTAAAAGGGAGAATATATTTTCTTTTTCTAAATACTTCATTTAGCATTAAAGGATATTTCATTGTACAGGGTTGTTTACAAGTTTTCACAATCTTTGTATTTGTTGACAAATGTTCTTTTAAGACTATTTTTATTATAAGTTTACAATTATTGCTACCATCAAATATTTTCTTCATGTTCCTTATACAGGGCTGAAAAGCCGTTCTATTAATAAAAAAAAAAGAAACTTTTTTATTTTTTTGTTTTATTTAAAATAAAATGTTAAAGAATATTTTTTTTTTTTTGCAAAAAGATGTTAAAAAAGTGTAAGTTAACCATTAAAAAGTATTTCACAGAAATCTTTTTTAACTATTAATATTTTGAATAAAAAATTGACTTTAGTTCCATAAAGATGCAAACATGATATAGAAAAGTATAATAACTAAATCTGAATGCACTTGTTTATTACTTCACTACTCCACTTAACATGGGAACAAACATTTTATATGTTATTTTAGTAGTACATTTGTCAGTTTTTCCCCTTGTTTGTTAGTATATATATAAATGCCTTATTTCAGCATTATTTACATTAACGTCATTATTTAAGTTTATACAATTTGTAGCATTTAATATCATTGCCTTGTAATTATTTTTTATTTATTGAATCACTACAAGTTATGAGCTTGAAATATTCAGGACAATATATTTTTTATTAAAACTCATTTAAAATTAATAGAATGATTAAAAGAAATAAAAAAAGGCAAATGGACTGCTTAAATATGATCATATTAAGTAGTAAAAGTTTGTGTTATTACTAATGGTTTTAAAAAATGAGGAATAAGCTATGTTTTTGTCATTCATTTTAACATAATTGAGCATTAAATTTAATCATATTCTTTTTGATGCACTGCATCATTAAATAAATAAAAAAATACTTTAAAAACATTTTGAATACATTTTTTAATATTTTTTAAACTTTTTTAAATATAATTAAAAAATGTAATTAGAGAATATTTCATTTATTATAAAGTACATTTCTATTATAAAATACATATTTATTTTCTCTGATAACAGAAAACAATTGAAAATTTAACTAATAAAGTAAAACTTAAACTGCACCTCATTCTCATTTATAGTTTTGATTCTAGCAAACATATATTTGACAAGTAGGTAAGATTAAAGTTTGAGAAATTTTTACATTTCCAATAAATACATTATTTAACTAACAAAAAAACAAAAAAAAATACATGGAAATAACAATGGCAATTGTCTTTTTATTTTAAGCGCATAAGTTTATTTTATGTAGATATTTTTATGGGAACCCAATTCTATGTTAACATTTAAAAATTATCAAGTAAAATTCAATTGTAAAAAATATATATTTATAAAAAACTATGAAAATATGAAAAACTATAAAAATTTGAAAAACTTCCATATTTTTTTTTATTTGATCATAATAAAACCGAAAGAATTTATATAGAAAATGTAAGTATTTAAAACATTTTTATTGAAAAGGTAAATAATGCTTGATTTAAACTAGCCAACCCTGCCTCTATATTCTTCCTGTATCCCTCTATTTGTGTTTCCTGATATTATTATTATGCCTTTCTTTATATTCCTTTGCTATACGTTAAAAAAAATTCTAATTCTATAATCAAAACGACTATAAAATGATCCAGATATATATTTTTCTTATCTATTACTGTTTTTGAATAAATCTATTAGCACCATCTTTTTTTTAATTTTTTTTATATATGCAAAGGTATTGCTTTAAAATTATTCAGAGTCTTTTCCTATTAAATATTATGAACAAAAATTAATTTTCTATTTATTGTAATTGATGATTGGTTCACATTTAAGCAGGCATTCTACATTTAAAGACTAATATATTAGTTTAAGAAGTAATGGTACTGAAATTAATGTTAGGTCTTCCTTTGTGATTATGATGTTATTATTAAATATTTTTCTTTTAGTTCTCAATAGATACTTTTTTCTTTAACAGCATTTTTGTTATATTTGCAGAGAATGCATAAATCAATTATTTTCTACATCACGGGGAGTATTTGGAACACCAGGATCAAATACACTGCATGCAGACGGAGCTTCAACTTTGCGCCGAAGTTCGAGTATGCGAAGAGCCCAGGGTGCTGGCGTGAAAAGGCGATCTGTTCCTCTCCAAGTCAAGTATACAATGGTTTGTGAAACTTCTATTCCTATTGTACGACTTTATGAGTTTGAACTATGAGCTTATATCCTTTCTGTTTCTTGCAACCGAATTTAGAAAAGTTTAGACTGGATTTAGAATGGAAATGCTTTGGTTTAGATATAGTTCGCTTTTAATTTCTTACTGGTTGATAAGGTTAAGATCATTCAACAATGTATTTTTGAAAATTTTCAATAAATTAAGTAAGTTTTGTCATTTAATTGATTCTATGGTCAGTTTCACTATCGAAGTCTATCATATTTATATAATTAGTTTGATTTTTGTGAATATTTTGATTTTGTTAATTTGAGAATTTAAGTTAACTCACATTCCATTATTCCAAGATAATTTAAACATTTTTCAAAGGCTTTATTTTCTAACTTGCTGATCAGTGATAACAAGCGGTTAATAATATAACTTATAATTTTTATTATTAAAGGTTTAAAAACTTAGTGTAAATTATTATTATCCAGTATTAAATTTTTTTTTAACTTTTCACTCCATGTTGCAGCTTTTAAACAAAAATATTGTTAGTTTATGTTAACTGTATTCAAAATAGTATTGCTGTGCAGTGCACATAAACCTTTATCAAGGAAATTTATTTTCGTCTGATTTAAATGCATACTGTAAACTGCTGATTTTCGTGGGGTTGGATTGTAAGGCAGACTTTGGCATGGTAAATGTACCAGTAGTTTATTTTAGAAGATTTTAACCACTCATTATTCAGTCTGATCATCTTTGTTCTACATGATATCACATAATTGTTCCAAGTTCTATAAATTGCTATTGCCAGTTTTACAAAAATGAAAATTTCTTTCAACACATGTACGAAGTACGATATATGACCACTGAAGTTACTTATCTGTTGTTATCTTCGTGGATAATCGAGAAGTAACTTAAAAACATTTTACGTAAAACTTTACATTTTTCCTTTTTATTTGATTTTATTAGTTGCATGGAACTAACACAGAAATTTTTGAAATTAATATAGTTTCATTTAGAAACGATCATTTACATGACTTTTTATATATCTGCTAAATTAATTTATATGCAGTGTTGGGCAAAATTTTTCTAATTCTAATTTACATAAATATTACCTACACTGCGAAAAATTTGTTTGAAATCCTGTAATAGTTTGAATGGCTGATTAAAAATGCTTCACTTTGTAATCTTTTTATTTTGTAGGATGGTCTGATAGATTTGCTACGAAGGACTAATATGCACTTTGTTCAATGCTTTATACCTCGACACAATGCCGGGATTCGGGAAAGCCGTCTTTCTCCCACAGTGGCAAAAAATTCACTTACTGAAGATATGTTAAATATTCCACTGTTGCGTTCACAAATTAGAGGATTTCAAGTTCTTGATACAGTTAGAGTTCACAAACAAGGTAATGAGTCATTAGCATTGTCTTAGTATTGAAAACTTATTAAAAAAATCACATTTTGCACTTAAAATCATAAATATTTTTAACGTATTAGAATATTTTAAACTTGTTATTGTATTACAACTGTAGGCCCTTTTATTTTTGCTTTTAATCTTTTTTCATTTCATATTGTCTACTTAAAAAACTCATTCTACTTTTATGATAATTATAATAGTCACTTACACAATGTCAGTAAGGGGACCTGGGTTACATCCCTGGCAGTGGCTTCAAGCTCTCTCAGCCCCTGTCTGACTGGAGACAGGAGCCAATGCTGATCTAATTGTCCCACTCTCCTATTGGTCTTGATATTGTAGAGCCATATCCTCTAAAACCCCTTAGCTGCCAACTGGCTGTTACACGAGTATTTTGCTTTTATAACTGAAATTATCTTGTCTATTTTTTATAAAATTTTAAGATTTAAATGAGAAATAAAAGTTTTTTATTGCTGTAATTTAATTACTATATCTTTATAAACTATGATCTCATTCATTTTTTAATGTATTCTGTTAAATGCCATTCACCAGTCTTTATTGTTGCTTCTCTAAAATTGTTGTATCTTAACATAAAACAGTTTTATCTTCGGAAGTTGAAATTATTCACTTAAAATATATGTACTGTAAAGAAATCTGTTCACTTACACTTGTGTGTAACATTAATTTTTTTTTTATAAATTAAATGTTTCCTTTGAGTCACATTTGATTGATAAATAGTATGAAAACTGTTGTATGATTCCATTAAGGTCTATTAATGAAGAATAGTAATTTTGCTAAGTAATGATTCGCTTACCAAAGATGCTGATATATTAAATATAATTTGCACATGCATCACATTGTGCATGAAGCTAATCGCTATGTTCTAATTATTGAACGACAGTAGCAGTCTTTAACAGTAATTAAAAATAGCATATTAATGTAATTTACACCAAAAAATGGCAATTGTAATTCTGTTAATAAGTTTAAGACTCCAATTCAAATAAGTTTATTTTAAAATCTGAAAATGTGTTACCACAGAATTGCATCATAATAAAAAAAAAAGACTCTTTCAGTTTTACGCGCTTAATTTAGAAAACAATCAAATAACAAATCGGATAACAAAATAGGAAAAAATAAATATTGCAGGTATGCCTTTAAATTTGGGATGCAAAATATTTTACAGAAAAACAATATTTTTATGACTTATTAATTTTATACTGATGACAACCAAAAAAACATATGAAAATTAATAACAACTTTAATTTCTTATAAGATTCTTATAATTTAATTTCTTAAATAATAATTTTTCTTTTCGATAGTTAGGTTGCTTTTTCCAGTAGTGGTTTCACAAATTTGTTATTTAGTTTATTATTTTTTGTTTATGATTTTGATTTTATTCTGCTGTGCTGATACTTTTAGTTCTCTTATAAGGTAATAACATATCTTATTTCATCTTAATTTTTCTTCTTCTTTTTGCTATCATTTTGTGCACAAAGTAAAAGCTAACTAATTATTTCCTTTATTCCTAAATTCTGTCATAATTGTTAGAATTAGGTTAATGTAATTTATCAAGAAGAATTTTCTTAGTTTTTCAAACTTACCTTCATGGTATATTGGATCATTAATTTTTGATTGTTTAATTCTGCAGGTTTTCCTGAAAACCTTATGTATTCGGAGTTCAGGCGTAGGTTTGAAATTCTTGCGCCTGCTGAACATCGCGTCACTTCTCCTGTCTATGATGAACGAAAAGCTGCTGAAACTTTGCTGGAAAGTATTGACCTTGAGAAGAGTACCTATCGATTGGGCTTGAGTCAGGTAAGGTTTTAAATTGAGGACTTATGTCTTTCCTTAGATTACTATTTGTTTCTTGCTCGTTAATTTTTCTACAACTTTTACTTTTTATAGATTGTGTACTGGGTATGAAATGCTTTTTTATGTCATATGGAAATATATTTTATTTATAATGGTTATTTTCTAATTTTATAGCTTATTGGGTTTTTTTATTTTAAATTTGATGTGTATGTTTTAGATTTTCCTTCGTTCAGGAGTGTTAGCTCAGCTAGAGGCAAAGCGGGATCAAAAGTTGAATGGAGTAATTACCAGTTTTCAGGCATCTTGCCGAGGATATCTTGCAAGAAGATCAATCAATAAATTAAAAGTATGTTTATGTAGTAAATAATACTTTATTGTAGAAAAAATTTATTTTGAATATTTATTTTATTGTAGACAAAGTTTTTTGAAAGCTTGCTAAACACAATCTTAGTATGTTCTCTGTTAATAGAAATTGATTATTAGTTCAGCATTAAGAAATTATTTATAAACCACCTTATTTTAATGTACTATTTTTTTTTTTTTTGAATAATTGAAGATCGTAGTTGAAAGCTCCGTAGTTTTGACTGCTTGCAAATATCTGCGGAATTTTTATTGAAATGTTGAATTTTTACGACACTACTTATTTAAGATGATTTGTTAACAATTTGTGTGTATGTAATAATTACTTTTTCATGTATTCACTGTAGTGTAATGTAAAATTCATTCTTTTTGAATCATCATTATAAATATATCCCAGATCATCCCCAATAACTGATTAGTGTAGCTCTTATGCAATATTAACAACTAGATTAAACTTAACTTTATTGTGTAATTATTATAAATTTGTAGTAAAATGCAAAAAATTATAATTGTTATGTACATTGGAAAAAATACTTTTAATAGCAGATTTTTAAATTTAAATCAGGTTTATTTTTTATTTATTTTCTTAAGTTGCTTAAATGAATTAAATGGGGAAAAAATCAAAGTTATTTTTAAATCATTTTTTGTGCATTTAGTGGTGAATGTAGCATGGTATAAAAGAATTTGTTTAATGAATTTGTCTTTAAATGTGTCTGGCAATCAGTTCACTTTAATATTATTAGATAACAAATAATTTCATTTTACTGATATTTGGATGAATTATAGCTGACTTTTTGTTTATTTGTTTCACTCATAAATAGATGTCATTTTAATATGTATACGATAAAAATTTTATTTGTGCAACTAACTTAAATTTATAAAATAAGTCTTATAAGTATTTAAAATCTTTTGATATTTAAGATAGTTTTATATAAATAGCATTATTTTTTTAAAAAGCCTATTTGAAATGAAAAATAATCTCTTAAAAGTATTTAAAAAGTCATTATTTTAACTATCTCATTCTCACTTCACTCATTCAGGTTGGGATTTGGTTACAGATTCTTCATTTTTTTCAATTATTTCTCAGTGTAAATTAAGTGTATTATGTAAATATATTTAAACATCAAATATCTTTAAACCATACTATTGTGTGTTTTTTATGTAGATTTTATAATTAACGTCTTTATTATTTTTATTCTCTTATAATTCTTATATTTAAGGTCATTGTTTTTAACTTTTTACAATTCAGATTCCTTACTGGCATTTTATTTATTTTTACAGGTTCAGGAACTTGCAATATGCTGCATACAAAGAAATGTACGCAAATTCTTAGCAATAAGAAGTTGGCCTTGGTGGCGACTATATGTGAAAATTTTACCTTTATTGGATGTTCATCGAACTGAGGAAGATTTGCGTTTGAAAACTGTAAGTAATTTTTTTAACCTTTTGAGATATGTTAAAATGAGTAAATTTAAAGTGTTTCTTATCAATGAAAAAGTTGGTTTAATTGTGAATTTATTTCCATTGTAAATTTTTTATTTGTTTGTACAGTCGATGCTCGTTATGACTGCCACTGTGTTCCAAACAAAAATTGACGTTATTACGTGAGGTTGCTATATCACGACAACATAAAATTAGTGAAAAGATTTTTTATATTTCATAAATACTGCATTTATTTTGAAAAAAAAAGCACACACACACTATTTTTTACAAGTAAACAGAATTATAAAACTGACAAGTACTTTTTTTTTAAGTCAGTATAGTAAAAGTATTATTTAATATAGTACAGTAAAGGTTAGAAATACATTTTCATTTTTTCAAATGACATCTTTTAATATTGAGCATATATCTTAGCTATTCTGTGTTTTATTTAGATCTTAAAATTTTAAATCACAATTAATTTTAAATGATGCCATGAAATTAGAACACTCTGCTCTTCTGCCTTTAGAATTATATCACAATTATTAATTATTTTAAACAAAATGCTTTTCGGTTTCTAAAATAGTTTAGCCATTTCTATTATTCTTCTATCCAATTCTTTTGAAATTTTCTGATTTGTGCTCTAAGGATATAGCATTACAATGGTTAATGGCAGTCATTTTCGCCAAATAACGTGCGTCCAGAGAATGAGCAAAACTAAAATGAAAAAGATTATGAATAATAAATAACATGTATTTTTACAAAATTAATCCAAAATTAATAAACCCCCTCTTACAACACTTTGTAAACAAGAAAAATATGATTGATAAATATATAGAACCTTATGAAAAGAAATTTTGAATGGTTATGATTATACAAGAAACTCTTTATTTCTAAATGATGTTGCAATATACACTTTAAATTCTCAATAGTGGAAAGTAATCCATATTTCGCATTTTTTTGTCGTCCATAGATTACAACTCAGGACCTTCTAGATTAAGAATAGTTGGTCCTGCCACGTTTTCTTCATTCATTGAGAATTCAAGATGTTTTTATTTTTATTGAGAGGTAACATCAAAAGAAATAGTGGTTTGAATAGTTTTCTAGAGACTTTTGTTATTGACTGACTTGATGTCAATGGAATAATGTTAGTTTTGAAAGCAAAAATGTATCTTGCTTCTGTTTTTGGAGTGATTTTTCGGGAATCTAATGGGCATTAAAATGATATTGCGTCTATGGAACAGCAAAGAGGACTCCATGTAGTAATTGATATAATGGAAGGGTCATACTTAACTGTCTAGACTGTGTGTATATTATATATATTTATATATATAAATCCGTGGCTAAAATTATGTGCAAAACAAGCAATTCATGTTTCTTTCTCTTTTCTATTTTATATTTTTTTTTCTTAAATAAATATCTATTTTCTATAATTATCAATTGTCAACTTCTTTAAATTATCCAGTATAATATTACTTTGCGCACATCCATTTCGGACCCATCCTTGGTAACTAACAAATCAAACGCACTTCAGTAATACAAAAATCCTCTACTTATGCTTTTATCTCAATTTGCGCTTTTGTTTTCATTTTTTGCAATCTGGCAATCTTGTTTCGAAAATAATTTAAATCATTTTTGAAAAATTTCCTGTACGTGTAAGTTCATTTGAATTCGCTACTCGCTTTTTTGATTTCATTTCATGTTTTATTCTGTTTTTTCTTTATATTTAATTTTCTGCTTTTACGTGATATTTTTACTTATTGCGTTCTATTTTATTGCTTTAACTATATTGATACAATATTAGAAAGCACTCTTTTTTGTGGATATAATCGTGTAAGCTGATGAAGAGATTATATCTTTTATTTTCCGGATTTTTAAAATTGTTATCCTTTTTTTTTTCGGATTTTTTTTTCCTTCTGGTTTCATGTTATTTTTATTATTACTATTATTTTTTACCCCTTCTTTCATTGCTCTGTAATTTTCGCCTTGTTTTCTCTACATTTTGAGCTTATTTTATGAGTTCTGTTTACTTGCAGCTTATGCGCAATAAAAAAAAATTGTTTTACTTTATTTTCTTCATGTTATTTGTATTTATTTATTATGCTATATATCTATATATATGTATGTATTCAAGTGTAATGAAAAGTTTAAAATTTATAGTTTGTAAAAAATTCAAAAATTTTGAAAGAAAATCAATCTTTATCAATTAAAAACACATTTGCCCAATATTTTTATGTTACAATAAAACTAAAAGATAGTGTTTTTTTTATCTATAAAATCTCATTTTTTTGGCACCATTAAATAGTACTAACATGCGGCAATTTTATTTTATTGTATTTACTTTATTGCATTGAACAGCAGAGTTTTTTTTTTTTAATCAATGTTGTTCAATTCCCTAGACTTGTAATTTTGAACCTCTAACAAAATGATGTAATTCAAGCATTGTAATAAGCATAACTTTAAGAAGAACTTTTTGATTGAACAAACCAACATTTGGGTTGCATGGAAAGATAAACCAAGAAAACCATTTACAGATATCATTTCCAATGACAATGAGATTTTAACTCATAAAAACTCTACTATTGGGTTTATTGTATGCTAACTGTGTAGTATGAGAATTGACCAGCTATTACCAAAATTTGAACCTTGATTCCCTTTCTGAGACGTTAGTGTTCTATCCCTTGAGCCATTTACTTCAATCAAAAGGTTTATGCATAACCCCGTAAATAGGGTGCAAAAACATTCTTTTTATTAATAAATTAATTCCTCAAAAGTAGTCAAGCAAAGGCCTATTTTTAGTTGTTTGATATCAAAGAGTTGTGGCACTTTTTACATATAATCTGATATAAACAATATCTCAATGCTACAAATGTAAAAAATAATTTAGTTTTATTGATATTTATGTGAATTCATTTTATTTTAATGCAGGAAGAGTTAGACACACTGAAAGCAAAATTAGAGAAATTGGAAAAAGAAAGAAATGAGCTTAAAATAACAAATGATAAACTTGAAGTGAAGGTAAGATATGCAACTATTTTATAGACATATTTTGCTGAGCAATGTTTCTTATGATTGAAGCGCTTAATGCAATATAATGATAAGTCACAGTTTAAATTGTTCATTTTTTATGAGCAGTTTTGGCAAAAAGCATTACAATTTTCATACTTCTGCATATTGTGTTGCTATATAGTGGAAATCCCAGAAATATATTTAGTACCTTGTTTGAAACAATACTAAAATATAGTTTCATTAAAAAAATGTTCTTTTTTGAAGAAAAAAAGTTTGCTTATCATTATATTGCTTCAAGCCTTTCAAATTTATTATTTTTGTGTACTCAGTTTAACACTTAACATTTTATATAAATAATTTTTTTCAAATTTGGAAGATTTCATTTCAATCTTTAGTTAGGGAGGAGGAAACACAATATGTTAATAGTTGTGCTGTTAAATTTTTTTTTTGGCTACTAGGCATTTTTTTAAAAAAACTTTGAAGTTAATTTCTGTTGAAACTTTGACAAACTTTAAAGCTCTACTTATTTCGTTAACATAAATTTTTTTAAAATTTTTATACACAATTTTTATCATGCTTTTAATAATAGTATTTTATGTAGATTTTTTAACATTGAAAAATTAATTACTGAAAATTCTCTTGTTCAACTATTTGGTTATATCAAAACTCATAATCAATGAGTTATTTACAATGAATTATATTAAAACCAAAAACTTACTTGGATAAAATACAAATTCTATGTTAAAGAGTGGTAGCCTGCTTATTCCAACTGGAAGTAAAGAACATATTAATAGAATAGAAACATATTAAAACAAAATAATTAATAAATGTATGCTATTGAAGTCCAGCATTTAAATTCTGTGTAAAACACTTTTAAAATGTTTGATTGAAACTTCACAAAACTGGAAAAAAATTATTATAGAATAAAATATTGTACAAAAAAATTATAAAATATAGTCAATTATTAAATCAGAATTTCATTAGTCTTATTTTTAAGAAAATTCTGAAAAATAAATTTTGTTTTAAATTTATATTTTGTGTTTAATAATTATATTTTGAGATTTTTGTTTTGGTCAAGAATAAAATTCCCCGTCATCTAAATGCTGACATATGTATTGTAAATATTTCCCATTTTCCAAAAATAGAAATCTACTATCACCCTTTTACTCTTTCTTTTCCACTTTCCACTTCTTTTCCACTTATAAGAATGAAAACGGCACAGGGTCCAAGGTTATTTTTATGAACAAAGACTAAGATCTTTTTACTTAAGTAAATTGTATCTCTCTTACAAATTATAGCATTGTATAAAAAAGGTGCCATTTTGTTTCATATTAAATTCTTCCCTTATGCTCTTCCTATGTGGTCACTTTTTTGTTAAAAATGGTCACTATTTTTAAACAATCACAAAAGTCACTTTTTTTTTATAGAAGTATCTGCCGCCCCTGGGGTTGTCAATTAATTCTTTTAACAATAAATTTTTCACTAGTATACTTGATTCAAAATGCATTTTCAACCCGCTATTAAGTTTTCAGACAGCCTATATGTCAGTTAAACAGGAGGGAATAAAACTGGTGGGGTTATGGAAGAAATTGTGTGCTATACTTCAAATATCAGGAAGACAATTATTGTAGTTAACAAAAGTGTATGGATTAACCAGTTTTTTTAGGATGTGTTATTGTATTAATTATTCACTAGCTGAATACCCGTTCTTTGTATGGGGTGAAAATAAAGGTATCAATTAATCAGTACTGTACAACACTACATAATTGCACCCATAACTTTCAGACAAATATTAAGGCTAAAATAATTCCAATGTTTTTCATTTATTTATTATTATTTGTTGCCCTTCTTGGATTTGCGTTTTTAGATTAAGCAAAACACGCATTAAGTAGTTCATCGCATATAAGGATTAACTATATTCAGTATCATCTGCCAGAATTCCGTTGCTCGAGGCAACACATGATATTTAAAATTTACCACCTTCAAGCTACTTTCTTGTGTTCATATATCTACGAAAGGCCATAAAAAATCGATCATAAAAGTGTCCGGTATTGGTTCAGCTGTAATCTGCAACAAATTTACTCATAAAATACTCTGTATTTATGTAAGAGATTATTTGGTACCTTTTAAAATTGCCCCAATTAATATGCGTATAGTGTGCCTTTTTCCAAAATTAACCATCATTGGTGTCAATAATAGTATGTGGACTTTTTGCAGTTCCTGTAATGAATAAGTACATTTTTTCCATAAACTTTGCTTCTTTAGTTCATAGCTTATTTTTTATTTCAATTTGTACCTGTTACTGAAATTAATTAAGCATCATTAGGGTCAATAATAGTTTCCGATTTTTTACGCTATCTTAAATGAATTATTAGCATTTCTCTATAAATGTTACTTTTAGTGCATAGCCTATTATTTTACTTCAATTTGTAACTAATACCACAATTAATTATCATTGGCGTCAATAATGATATTGGTGTTTTTTTTTTTTTATGTTTATCCTCAGTAAATTTAAATAAGTTCCATTTCTCCATTATTTACCTTTTCAGTACAAAGCTCATTTTTTTAAAATTTCAATTAGTATTGATTTTAAATTATTTAGTCATATAAAAACACGTTATAAAAGCATAACTTTAAACAAAATAAACACATAGAAATAATAATTTGGTGATGTAGTTTGCTTATGCTACGAGGATGACGTTGATCATTCAGATAACCTGGCTTAACAAATAAAATATAATTAAAGATAAGAAAATGCACAGTAAATAATTTTTTTTATGAAAGATCTAAGCCAACATAACTGATGTTTATAAAATATTTGAATAAACAGAATCGTCCATAGCTTATTTTAAAACAATGGTTTTTACTAACTGAATGGCTTCTGCTAAGCAAATGAGAAAAATCCATTTTTTAAATATCTCTGAATTTTAAATATAATTAAAAAAAAAATCAAAAATAGGGCTTCGTAACTTGTTTACAATTTTACTCATTCAGATTAATTTTGAATCTCATATTTTTAGAGCTTAGAGTATATACCTGCAATCTGATATACAGGCACACAGACAGACACGCACAAATTCTTGATTTTATTATGTGTATAGATTACTTGTGGATTTACGTTATTAGATTAAGTAAAACACATTTTTAGTAGTTCATCCCATCAAAATAAAGATATATCAAAATATCTGTATTAAGTATCAACTGGCATAATGCTGTTGCTGAAGGCAACTTTTAATATTTAAAATTTACTGCAGTCAAGCTACTTTCTCCTGTACTTAGATCTTCAGGGGAACTTAAGAAATCTGTCCTAAAAATGTTCAGTATTTATTGGCTTAGCTGTAATGGCACGGAGTTTACTCTAAAATACTTTGTGTCTATATAAGAGTATATTTAGTATCAACTACAGCAATTACTATGATGTTAGTAGGCTACCTATAGTATGGTAACTTTTTACAGTATCCCGTAATGAAGTATATTTTCTCCATTAATATTGCTTTTTAGTTAATAGCTTATATTTTTATTTCAGTTGGTACCGATTACCAAAATTAATTAAACGTGAAGGATGTCAATAATATTTAGCCAATTTTTTACACTCTCATAAACAAATTAGTTCCATTTCTCCCTTAATTTTCATTTTCAGTTTTAAAATTCTATAGCAGATTTGGTTTTATAGTAGCAAGTTTTTAAAGCGTAACTATATACAAAATAAACCGGTGTAGATAATCTTAAGAAATATTAATCTGGTGACATAGTCCACTTATGCTATCACGTTCACTTTGATCATTCAGATGACCTGGCATAATGAATAAAAATAATTAAATAATACAGAACACACAATAAACTAACTTTTTTGATAGGAGCAATAAGCTAACAAGCATCAACAATATGTTATCTTTAAAATATTTAAAAAACCAGGGGTCTGTCCAGGCCAAATTTACTACCATTTAGCGTTGCCTTCACAAATTCAACTTTAAGAAAAACAGTAGTTTCACAAAATACTTTTTCTTGAAATTTTATTTTTCTATCCCGTAAGAAACAGTAATCTATATCATATTAAGGGTACCATATTAAGGGTATTTACCATATTACCATATTAAGGGTATCCGCATTAAGGGTATTTACCATATTACCATATTAAGGGTATCCGTGCACCTGGAAAGTCATGAATTTCAGTATTGAACAAAATTTGTCATGAAATGTCATGATTTTAACTTTTTTTTAAAGAAGCATGGATTTAGGTCTCCGAAAAATCTAATTTTTAAAATGGAATTTACCCCTCCCCCCCAATTTCACAGTGTTTATCAGAATTTGTAACAAAATCCTCACTCACAGTCATATTTTATTAAAATATAAAATGTTATTATCCTGTTCTTTAAAAATTATGGTGTTCTTTCAAAAAAATGAAAGAAAAAACATTTTTTCTGGAGGGAACTATCTTTTAAACTTCTGTGATTTCAGAATTTTTATTATTATTTGCTTTTTTTATTTTATGAATTTAAAATTCTAGCTGAAGCAAGCCAGTCATTGGCAATTTTTTTTTTAAAATTCCGAAATGAGAGCAGAAAAATCAGGAGTATTTCTTTCCTCTCTGATGAACAAGAAAAGTATATTTAGAATATAATTCTGCAGAAAAATAGAAAACAAAATTTGCTTTTGTATTTTTTCCAGCTATTTTATTGCCTCAACTCTTTTATTAGGCTGTTTTTTAAATATGAAATCTATTAATAAGAAGAGTATATTAGTTTTGGTTGTGCCTATCATTTGAATTAATGTTATTTTATAATGCTTTTTTAAATTTATTGCTGTGTTTTTGTCAGAGAAAATAGTAGCTTCGTTAAGTCTTGGAATTAGTCCTGGAAAGTCATGAATTTGAAAATCTAAAATGTAGCAGATACCCTGCATATTTTTTGTTGATTTTTTTATATAATTTTTAAATTTCACAAATTATGCCTAAATTAAATTAAATTAAACTAAATTAAACCTCTCAGAAAAACCTAGACAGACCCCTG